CGCCGCCCCCTTAAAAAGGCAAGGCACTTGCATGGTGACGTTGACTTGACAAACGCAGCAGCACTGGGCCGTTCACTGCCTCTGTCACGCTCGTTTGGCTAACGGCACCATTCCACCTTTTTCGGAAAGGAGGGGTCGGGGGGGGGGGCATTTTCTGCAACTATCTGAACTTGCCTTAGAACAGAAAAGACGTTGTCACATTTATCTTATGACTGTGCCATAATCTGTGCTTACCTGTTATAACAGGGATTAATAAAAAAAAAAAAAAGTGAAGAAATGTAACGCTAACGTGTGCGGGGGGGAAAAAAAACTCGCATCGCTCGTTACCTTCTTCTCCTACTTCTGGGATTTGTGGCGGGGACGTAGCGCAGGACTTGTTTCAACTTGGCCTCCCGTCCACAAACTTGGGTCAGGTTTGCGACCGTCATTCTTGGCCAATCAGAGAGGCTGGCGACCGGCGCTGTTGCTTTTGGTGGACCGCGACGTCGAAAACGGTTCCAATAAAATTTGGTTGTTCACACTGACTCTGCTTACTTGTCACTTATTGGATCCGGTAGCTGGCGGAAGGGTTTTGAACTAGGGATAGGGTGTCAAAGTAGGGTTTTAAACTAGGGTTAGCATTTTAAAATATTTTTTATAGTTCTTTTTGGAAGGGTTTGGGTTTCAAATTAGGGTTTTAAGATATCATTAGGGTTTCAAAATAGGGCAATAAACTAGGGTTTGGGTTTCAAAGTCGGGTTTAAAACCGGTGTTGGGGCTTAAAACTAGGGTCTTAAAATATGGTTAGGGACTTTCAAAAAGGTTAGGGTTTAAAACTAGGTTTGTTTGGAAGGGTTAGCCTTTCAAATTAGGGTTTTAAGACATGGTTAGGGTTTCAAAGTGGGGATTTAAACTAGGTTTAGCCTTTCCAAATAGGGCAATTAACCAGGGTTAGGATTTCAAAGTAGGGTTTCAAACTTGGGTCAGGGTTTCAAACAAGGGTTAGCCTTTCAAAGACGGTTTGTTTGCAAGGGTTGGTGTTTGAAATTAGGGTTTTAAGACATGGTTAGCTTTTCAAAGTGGGGTTGTACACGAGGGTTAGCCTTTCAAAATAGGGCAATGAACTTGGGTTAGGGTTTCAAAGTAGGGTTTAAAACTCAGGTTAGGGTTTCAAAGTAGTGTTTCAAATTAGGGTCAGGGTTTCAAACTCGGGTTAGGGTTTCAGATTAGGGTGTGAAACTAGGGTTAGGCTTTCAAAGTAGTATTTCAAATGAGGGTGAGGGCTTTAAACTAGGGTTCATGTGAAACATCAGTACGCAGCTGCTGTCCGTTTAGCTCCAACACTCAACCAAAGCGTTGCTTTGTTTGTTCACATGGCAAGCATCCAAATCAAAGCCAAATTATACCAAACGTATTCAGTCCGGGATTGGGAGGCGTGGGGTCGAGCAGCACAACTTGTTGGTTGTGTGAGTGGCCATCGTTGGGGTCGATAGTAACGTACGCTCACTCAATTCCGCATTAAATTCTAACCTTGAAACCCTCACCTCAGTGGCTGGAAACCAGTTAACCTCTTTGAAAGTCCTTGAAACCCTAACCCTGATTTAAAACCTTATGCACGGAACCCAAATTTGAAACCTGAACAGTGACTTGAAACCCTAACCCAGTCCTGAAACACTATTTGAAATCCCTACCCTTGTTGGAAACCATAATTTGAAGCCCTATCACTTGCTTTCAATTCTAAGGCTTTCCCTCATAATACCCCCCACCTAAAAAAAATAAATACATAAATGATGTGAGCAAAGTACGTTGAAACTCAGACTTGAACTTTTTGGCGGTGAACCAAACATCTCATTGAGCTTCTTCCATCTTGACGGCCCACACAAAATGTGACTTTAATCTGTCCTGTCCTGTCCTGTCCTGTCGCGTGCATATTCAAGCAGCGCCAGGGCCCGGCTAACCCCCCTTTGCAGCAGATGCCATGAGCATTGGGGGTTGAGGGGGCGCATCAATATTGATGCGGGGCCAGCGAGGCGGCTTGGCGGGAACTTTGTCCCGCATCAATATTGATGCTGTTGCCATACATCGCAGTCGGGACCTCTTGAAGGATTTATGGGGGGGGGGGTGATGTACATTTTTCCTGCACAGCAATTTCCACGGAAGCAAGAGAGGGGGAGCTTGAGGGGCGGCGATGAGATCCGGGTGGAACCGGGGTTCCGCGGCCGATGCGATTCCCTCGGCGACGGCGGGAAGATGGTCGGGGGTGGGATGGGATGGGGATGAATGTTTCATAGGATGACGGCGGCCTGTTGACGCTGGAAGCGCGGCTGTTGCTTTTGGGACGTCTTCGGACCACCGGACACCACGCTCGTTAGCATATTAGCTTTGGAACGGTGTGGAGAGCCGAAAGTCTTCGTTCACTTTTCATCAAGTAAATCATTGCAGAACTCCACATGAACTTTGGCAAGAAGAAGGCCCGCTCAGAAGATGCAAAGCATTGCACTTCGCTTTTATGTTTCAGTCTGAGTCCAAATTTGATTCAGTTCACTTCGGCCTGAAAAATGTTCCACTCAACAACCCATAACAACATCCATCCATCCATTTTCCGATCTGCTTTATCCTCACAAGGCTCGTGGGGGTTGCTGGAGCCTGTCCCAGCTGTCTTCGGGCAGTAGGTGGGGGACACCCTGAACTGGTTGCCAGCCAATCGCAGAGATGAACAATCTTCCCCGCTCACACGCACACCTCAAGACAATTTCGAATGTTCAATCAGCCTGCCATGTATGTTTTTGGAATGTGGGAGGAAACCGGAGTACCCAGAGAAAACCCACGCAGGACTGGGGAGAACACACAAAGTCCACACAGGGAGGCCAAAGCCGGGATCGAACCCATGACCTCTGCACCGTGAGGTCGACGCGCCAACCATTCGCTCACGGGCCCACCGGCCCTTAAAAATGTTTCACTCAACAACCCATCACAACATGAAACAAAAAATGTAGACTTTTTTTTTTTTTTTTTAAACAAAATTGAGGCGCTTCTTTCTGCAAGGCGAGAGAACAAATACTGGATTGCTTTCAACTTTTTGAGGAGACAGAAGTGAGGAATGGTACAATTAAGACTTGAAATGCGCCCCGTGACTCATATCACACACACACACACACACACACACACACACACACACACACACACACACACGCACGCACACACACACACACACACACGCACACACACACACACACACACACACACACACACACACACAAAATTGCACTCTATTTGTGCCTTCCATCACGAAGTGCCGAGGTCAACCTGGCCACAGTGCACAAGGCAAAGAAGTCATCGTTTCTTATAGCATCCACAGTCAGAGAACTTTGTTGCCCAGCACACCCACAATACAAGCAGGAACAAATCCAAGTCAGGAGCAATGTTTGCTAAGCTTGACGTACTAGAAAAGTAGTTTTTCTTGCCGTTTATTTTATTATTCTTATGATTATTATTTTTTTTTTTTTTGCTTATCCATTTATGTTTTTTGTATCATGCATTCATTCACTATCCAATCAGAGGGGATCAATTGTCACTGCCGGCAACCGGCATTTTTCAGACTGAATCTGGCGAAAAGTGCCCGCCGATCGACGGCTCGTTTCATTCAAATGATGCCTAAGAAGCACAATGAGTGGGAAAAGTCGCATCACTCTCTTCGTTCTTCACATGCAGCAAGACAAAAAAAATAAATAAATCACTCGTGGACAGAAATGCATTTTTTTGGGCAACTGTAGTATTTACGGCATGGTTTTGGCTCACGTAAAAGCTCTCCCGACACACCAAATAATGTCAACGCAGACCAAATTGTGCCGATTTCACGTCCTCATTTAGTTATTTATTTGTGTTGCATCAAACGGATGTTTGGTTTCCCCGCAGCTTCGACGCGCTATTGGCAAGGCGACGAGAGCGTCGGAGCGGCCTCATCATATCATGGCTGTCGCGCTCGGCTTGTGCAAACATACGATTACGCTGGGGCGCCTTTCTGGGTCACTAAGTTAAATATTTCAGATGGTTTATTTTTAGTGCCTTCTGCTTCTGCACACACACGCATACGCCACACACACACACACACACACACACACACACAC